TAAGCCAGAAAGAAAAAAGAAAATACCAGATGGTCTCACTCATAGCAGGAATTTAGAAAACTTAAATAAGAGACCAGGAAACAGACTAATCAATACAAAATAAAAATAAAAATCAACAAGCAACTATAAACCAGAGACACACTACAGGGGAAGGGGGGGAAGGAGGGGTGGAGAAAGGAAGGACTAGAATCAAAATAATGGGGGGTGCAACTGTATGGGGAATATAACCAAAATGAAAATGCATACATTGTGCAAAGATGAAAAAAGATGTAAGAATTATATAAAATAAAATATTAAAAAAAAACTATTTCCATAGCTTTTTGAAACTCAGAATTCTAAGACTTGGGATTTAAGGCTATCAGCTATACTTCCTTATTTTTAAATTAATGGTGTATGCCCTTTTGTCATTAATCTATTATAATCTTGATGTTTTTCTCATTTATTTAATTGAGTGCTGAAAAACACAGAGCAGTTAATTTTGGTCCACATTATTGGTCCACATTACTGTGATTTGGGATAACATAGTAAATGTGCAATAAGTGATTGTTGAACAAATAAGTGAAATTTTCTTTTCTCCACATCTTTCTGAATTCTAGCCTTGGGTGAACTTCACTCCCTGCTGCTGGATGATTTCTTGTAGTGATGGAACAAAATGAGTTTTTCCTCACAGAGGTGTCAGCAGGAAGGTAAGACAGTGGTGGGCATTTAGACTAGTATAGAATCTTAGATATCTGGTTTCTTTCTTATTCCAGAAGGATAGAATGCAGATATTTCCCTTCATTTCTGGGAGAGTTTGAAAGTTAAAACCTCCTAACACTTGAATTAAGAGAAACTATTACTAATTTTTCTTGTTGTTGTTGGATAACAACTTGGCTCCAATAAATAGTGAACCCTGTAAAATAAAAAGAAAATAGCATTTGAGAAGGAAGGGAGTATCTCCGAGGGGAAAAAAAGAAAAATGGAAGGATCTCTGCAGAAAGAAAAGAAATGAATTAGTGAGGTGTACTGCCAGAGGTGGTCCTGGGAGCTCTAGCAAAGTTACCCCAAAAGGGAGAAGACCAGCTGCCCAATAAAAGTCAAGTGAGTGAGCAAGAAAATTGACACTGGTCTTGCTGAACAGGAGCCAGGTCCCTTGTCTCCAAAATAAGAACTACTCATGGTCTGTCCCAGACCTGTGCCAGGTGATCCAACAGCACTAAGAAAGGATGTACAGTCTTCAGTGTCCTGTAGAGGTGACAGCCACATTGTCACAAGACACTACTGGGTCCCCAGTGATTACTCATGTGGACACCATTTCTTCCTAAACTAAGACACCCAAAAGCACAAGAAAAAGGATTGGGGTTCTGAAGCAGTGGGAATAGGGGTGGCTCACATGTACTTCTGAAGACTGAACTGAACTTTGAATAAAAGTGTCACCCTCATCGCAATGAACATATATAACTTGGCCTCTATAGAAGCTCAAGTTCCCCTAATTTGCTGGGCAGCAAATTATGCAAGTGGTATTCTTAAAAAAACTCACATTGAGCCTCCCCTGGTGGCGCAGTGGTTGAGCGCTGGGCTGTAAAGCTGCCCGCAACCTCTGCAGTGCCGGTTCGGTTTGATCCCTGGCTGCCGGTGAGGGTCCCACATGGAGCGACAGATCTTTCCTGCAGAGCCCATTGCTCCCCTCAGAAGTGTATTTTGTCATCTGCCTGTTCTGCTCCCCGCTCTGGCTCTGGTGAATTCTCTCACCCTTCTGCACTTCTGACTACGCCCAGTGCTTGCATAAATAAATAAAAAAAAATCTTTTTAAAAAAAAAAAAAAACCTCACATTACTCAAAAATTGACTATCGTAAGATGAGTCCTAAGTATGTTTATTTTCAAGAACCTGAAGTTTTCCCAAAAACTGTACATAAGGTAAAACAATCAATATGTGTTAAGTCATACTATTTCAAAAGCACATAATCCAAGTTCATATCAAATTTATAACTTACTGATGTAGGGGAAGGTGAAGTAGTATCGAAAGGCAATGGCATAAAGGAAAAATCAAAATCAACAAGTAACTATAAACCAGAGACACACTACGGGGGGAGGAGAGGAGGGGTTAGGGACAAAATAAGGGGGGGGGTGGGAACTGTATGGGGAATACAACCAAAATGAGAATGCACACATTGTGCAAAAATGAAAAATGATATAAGAATTACATAAAATAAAATTTAAAAAAAATCAAAAGGCAATGTCAGCCAAGCAAGGGGAGCATTATTGCTTTAAATACTAACCATCTGTTGACACTTTGACATCTGCCAGGTCTGTCCTTTGATCTGTTGCATTTTCCCATTGAGTGACTAAATGCGTTTAAACCCTAACATCCTATATTGACTCCTACCTTCCCTTACATGCTTCTCCTCACCTCTCTAAATAAAAACTCTATTCTGCTAGCTGCTCAGGCACCTGCTGTCACCTGTCATGGCTCTCTTGCCCTTGTGGCCGATGTCAGTCAGTCAGGAGCCTCTATGTCATCCACCTCTCACTCTCGCTCTTTCCTCCTGCCTGTTCTTCCTGCTTCAGGCTGTTACCCCTTAGAATGCGCTCTCAAAAGAGGAGTCTGCACTGCCCCAGCTACAAGCCAACGGTCTCCTCACTCAGAGTAACAGTCAAAACCTTACAATGGCTGTTAGATCTTATGCAATTCCCTAACCCCCAATGCCAGCCATCTCTCTATTCTCATTCCCTTCCTCTCCACTCACTTACTTTCTGCGAATGCCCCGGCCTTCCCACCAACTCAGTACCTTTGCACTGGCTCCCTCCTATGCCTGGAATGCTCTACCCCAGATATCCATATAGTTCTCTCTCTCACTTTCTTTGGGGAATTAGAGGTTATCTTTTCTACCCTATTTAAATTTTTAATGCCCCTCCTTTTTTCCAACCTTCTAGTCCCCTTTTCTGTTTAATTTTTGCAATACTATTAATTTATCCCAAATACATCATGTAATTTTTTTTTTTACTGACTTAAAAAAGAAGCTGCCCCCATTTTGAAATTTACAATCTGCTGGAGCAAGGGTTTTTGCCTTTTGTCACTGCTCTGTTGCCCACACCGGTGCTGACATGTAACATCCCTCAGTAACAATGGTTGAATGAGTTACTGAATCACATAATTAACTTGCAGCAGCTCTAATAATGACAGGTAGGGCCACCACAATGAACGAATATCATGGGAACTGTAAAATCAATTGATTTTTTTATAGGCATGCCTTTCTCAAAAATAAAACCTAACCATTATGATCATCAATAATTACCTGAATAAATGAGAATTCACCAAGTAATATAATTAGCCAGCCTTAGAAAAATGTTTGGCTATGCTTTATTTCAGTAATTATAGGTCAAATATCTATCCTAGGAAAACTGATAAGTATATACAAAGGTTTGTATTACAACACTATTTAAAATAATATAAAATAGGAAGAACCTGCTGCCAGCAGTAGGACAACATTAAATTCTGATATCATTCCCCATAGCCAGCCACTCTTCCCACTCTCTTAGAGTCTCCCTGAGGCACCTCTGTGCCATCCACATCACTATTCTGGATACAATTTCTCAAAACGTTATGTTCTTTGTTTTTATAAGATTAATCATAATTTGTAATTATTTATTTTTGTGTTTATTTTTTGCTGTAATTTTCATCTCTCAGGATGTAAGCTGCATAAAGGTGGGAGTTCTACTTTGTTTATGGCTATATTCTTCAGTTCACAATTCCTAGTATAGTACACACCAAAATTTATCAACTAAATAAATAAAACAGAATATTATGCTGCCATTAAAAATAGCTTTGAAATGTTTTGATGGACTAGGAAACACTTACAATATGGTATCAGTAGGAAAACAAAATTCACACTCAGTATTATTTCAACTACTAAAAATGCATAGAAAAAAATCTCAGAAGAAAAAAATCTATAATGTTAATACTAAAAAAGAGATATCACTACTATCTTCTTCATACTTTTCTGTTTCAAAATTTTTTATCTTGAGTATGTATTATTTCTGTAAGAAATTAATACATAAGACCTGCTCATGTAGAAACCACATGAGCAGAAAGGAGAGAGTAAAACAAAGAGGTAATGTTTAACGATGACACACCCCAGCTACTGCAAAACAGAAGGGCAGAAAGGCCATCTACAAGCAAACATAAGGTATTCAAGCTTGGTGAACAGAAGAGTGTATGAAGAGAGTGTCAGTGCTCTAAGAAGTTCTCTCTGAGAACTGTAGCTCCTGGGCCAAATTCAGCCACCATCTGTTTTTGTGAAATAAGCTGCATTGTATGCAGCTGCACCCTTTCCACTCACGTATTGTCTGTGGCTGCTTTCATGCTACAACAGCAGAGTGGAGTAGTTACAACACAGACTGTGATTTCTGTGAAGCCTACAATATTTACTACTGATTCCCTTTTTTTAAAGATTTATTTTTTATTGATATAACAGCTGGGGTACAGGCCAGAGGTGCGGGAGGGTTAGAGGATTCACCAGAAACAGAATGGGGAGCAGAACAGGCAGATGGACCGAAAGCAGTGCTGAGGGGAGCAGCAGGCACAACAGGAGAGGTCTGCCACACTATGTGGGAATCTCCCTGGCCAGCCAGGAATCAAACCCGCGCTACAGAAGCTACGGACAGCTTCACAGCTCTGCGCTCAACCCACTGCACCACCGGGGAGGCCCTACTACTGATTCTTAACAGAAAAAGTTCCCTGAACCCTGTTCTATTGGATTTATCAGAGAAGGAAAAAATGACAAGTGATGACATGGATACCAGGGCTATTCATTTTATAGGTGACAATGAGGATGTCACATTGAGGTGCAGATAGATGAGTCTTGACAAAAGTCTGTATCTACAATCAAATGGAAGAACAGAAAAAAAGTTCTCCTTAAAGGATGAGAGGCATTCATGGTTTAAACAGTAACTACCATTTTATATGATTGCTATTTAAAAGCACAACAGGAAAAAAAGCAGTGAATGTTGGAATGGTTACCTGTGGGGTCAGAATTGTAGATACTGGTGGCTGTTGCTATGGATCCTGGTGGGTGGATGGTGCTTGCTGAAGATCTTTGACTTGCAATCAAAATTCTGCTCTTGGTAGATGGCAAACGGGACATTGCACCCAATCCCAACTGGGGCTTAAGGAGCATGGCTGACCGGTAGAAAGTTGGAGGAACTTCATAGTGAGTATAGGAAGGAGAACAAAATTCTTCTTTTCCAGGGCGTTCTGTAACCTAGGTATAAGATCAAAACCTCAATCAGTGAACTTCATATTATCAGATGAGAACTGAGCATGGCCAAAATACCAAGGCTCTAACATGGAGCACTCTGGGCCATGGTTTGCTCAATCACAGACCCTTCACCATCTCTGGGCCTCAGTGTGGATGTCTAAGTTGACAGCACAACTGAATGATCTCTTGGGTCTCTTCCAGTTTTAATAGTCTATAAATCCACATTTCACTGGGAGATAAAACAACCCAATTTAAAATTTTTTGAATATGATTGCTACATGGATTTGTACAAGTAGTCAATCTATAAGTAATATTAATGAAACAAAGAATTTAGTGAACATTCATGGGATTAGGAAAATATTTATTTATTTATTAATATTTATTTATTTATACAAGCACTGGGTACAGTCAGAAGTGCGGGAGGGTGAGAGAATTCACCAGCATCAGAGCGGGGAACAGAACAGGCAGACCGACGAAATACACTGCTGAGGGGAGCAGCGGGCGTGGCAGGAGAGGTCTATGCACCATGTGGGACCCATGCTGGCGGCCGGGGATCGAACCAGCACTGAGGCTGCGGGCAGCTTTGCAGCCCAGCACTCAACCACTGTGCCACCAGGGGAGGCCCAGGAAAATATTTAAATTATGAAAATATCATCAATCCTGAGAAAAGACACAATTTTTATGGTAACCTAATCTTAAAATAAGGATCTGGACTTTGTTGATTTGCATCTTCACTAGACTTCTTAGGAAATGATATATGCATTGTTAATAAGGGAAAACATGTTATTTGGAGGAATAGAGAAGTTAATGGAAAATTGTATTTTTCATGCTCTGTAATCTGTTTACATAATTAAAAATAAAAGACAGAAAATCACTTCCTCTGATTGTCTTCTCTGGTAAGGTGGTGCTACCAGGAATGTTTGTGCAAGTTTCACTAAAACTGAATTCTGGGGGCAAAGTCTTGTTGACTGTTGAATTGATAGCCCCTAGAGCAGTTACTAGTACACAGATGGAGTCAATAAATTAAACAACGGAATCATGTTTCCATTCTTTTCTAAATATAATAATATAATTTCCCTTTTACTTTTTCCTGTAGTTATAGTTTGGACTAGAATTCAACTATAGCTATTTTTATATATGCAATTTTGAATTTACAAAAGCTGTTCATATTATCAATGTTTCTTCCTATTAAAAAAGAAATAGTAAGACAACTAAATAATCTATTTCCTTTAAATTAAAAAAAATTGCCAAAAGCTATATATGAAACATACATCCATTAATTAACTGTGCTCTAGATCACAACACATTTTACATGTTGAATTTATCTATGCAGGAATCACAAGCATTTAACAATATCCTTTAACAGGGGCTATGAAGCTTTGATCCAAGCTATTGAAGAGATAAACCCTTAATTTGATACTCTTTTAATGTTGAAATAGATACCAAGTTCTTCTTAAATTAACATTATTGGAACAAAAGACTAGGCCTTTAAAATTTTATCATAATTACATTGTAAAATATGCATGAGTACTATTGTAGATAGATTATACTCAGACCATAGCAAATTATATTCCTGTGAAAGAACATTCTACATCTGCTCTCTGATAAAATTTTTACAATTCTCTACTTACTCTCTCACTATCCATCCTTGGCTTTTCTATTAAAATCATAATTCCTCTATTTTTTATTTTAGCTTCAAAATTCTTGGTGCCATTGCTTTTAGCAGTGTTCTTGTGAAGAAACGATCATTTTAAACCTGTATCTGTCAGGATTTTAGGATTGCAATATGCTGATCTCAGTAACTCCTCGGTTCTTTCAATCTGGATAGTATCAAAACCCATCATGCCATCACTCAAAAATGACTTAATAATTTCAGTAACTCCAATGTCTGTCATTTTGGGGGATAATTTGTTTCTGGTAAGATAACAAACTCTTTTAAAAGGTGAAAAATATGCCTCAGATACCTGATACAGGGAATCTACAAAACAAGGGAATCTACAAAAAACTTCATACTATTTCCTTTCGCTTTGTGGACAGAACACAGGACGTACCAGTGCACAGTCATAAACATGTAGAGATTAATAGTCTCAAATATTCTCTCCTCCTTCTCTAATGAAATAGACTCCAAGAAATACTTTTGAAAGCAAACTAATGATTCCCTGTAATTTCAAACAAACCCTAAAGTTGATCAACACACACAAATACGTTCTTACTAGGTTGTTCCTCTTCCTATTTGCCCTGGTCTGTTTCAAAGGGATAGTGGGCTTGGGAGACATAGAGTAAGTGTTGAGGGTTCACTGAGAAGACTTTGGGGTAGAGAGACCCTGCCGACTTTGCCGGCAGGAGAGTGTTTGAGGTACTGATTTTATTTGTAAACTTAACTAGGCCAAGGTACCAAGAATTTGGTAAAGACTATGCTTGATGTTTATGTGACAGCATTGTTTAGATGAGATCAACTTTTCAGTCAGTAGACCTTGAATAAAACAAATACCAGTCATAATGTAGGTGGGTCTCACCTATTTGAAGGCTTTAATAGGAAAAGACTGACCTCTTTTAAGGGAGAAAAAAATCTGTCAGTAAATGACCATTGTAGCATCAGCTCTTTCCTTGGTCTCTAGCCAGCTACCCCACCCTGCAGATTTTGACATAACAATCTCCACAGTTATGTGAGACAATATCTTAAGGTTTTGACTGGCTGGCTGATCGGTGATTACTCATGCATACACACACATACACACATACACCTGCAGTGTGTTCTGTTTCTCTGGAGAAACTAGAGTTACACGTCTTTCAAAAATAAGGTACCGGGGCCTCCCTGGTGGTGCAGGCGGTTGAGCGCTGCACTTGGGGCTGTCTGCAGCCTCTGCTGCGTGGGTTCGATCCAGGTCAGCCAGCAAGAATCCCACATGGTGAGGTGACTGTCTGTCCTGTCTCACCCGCTGCTCCCCTCAGCAGTGTATTTCGTCAGTCTGCCTGTTCTGTTCCCTGCTCTGCTCCAGTGAGTCCTCTCACCCTCCCCCGCATCTGGCCTATACCCCGGCTCTTGTATAAAAATAAATAAATCTTTTTAAAAAATGCACAGATCTTAAAATGTATCTTTAAAAATAAACAAATAAATAAGGTACCAGGGAGTAGAAGGGGACCAGCCCTACTCACACATCTATATGTTGCAAGCGCCACCTTCCCTCTCTCCTGACCCCTTTGTGTGCCTCCCTACACCAAAAATTAAAAGTGTTCCCCCAATGAGTCAGTAAGAGGATGTGCCCCAGAAACCTCAGGCTATCCAAGAGCAGAAATCAGTTTAAATAAGTATGCATATTTTATTGACCCAGCATGACTAAATCCAAGATGACTTTCAAAGCTGCTTCTAGAAGCTCTAAATATCTGTTTTTCATGCCACCCAAGAAGACTCCCTCTCTCAGAATACTTATTCCACTATTTTTATCCATGCTAATTAACTATCAGGGATTTGTCAATAATGATGGAAGAGTCTGAAGCTGATTTGAGTTTTTATTATTAAAACGTTCCCATTTTTTTAAATATAGCATGGATATATAACTTCTACAACTGAAAAACTATTTGTTGCAAATAGTCAGAAATATGTTCTTTCCCAGGAGACCACCTGAAGGTATCTAGTGGCAAGTTTGGGGGCACACCAACCAGCTTTGGGATCTCCCTGCCCTGAGTCTAAGCACAGATGGGGTTCTCCCTGGGCTAGGTGGGGTTGCAGCTATCAAAGCAAAGGCCAAGAGCCAGCCTAGCCTTTGATTAATGAGAAATTAGCCCTGCACAAAACCTGGGGTTTCTCTGCTTTGTCTCTTATGTGAAGAAATGGGTTTGTTTGTTTGTTTGTTTGTTTGTTTGTTTGTTTGTTTGTTTTGTGGGACCCGGGGAAAGAACCGGCGCTACGGAGGCTGCGAGCAGCCTCGCAGCCCAGCGCTCAACTGCTGCGCCACCAGGGGAGGCCCAAGAAATGGTTTTATGGCAGAAAACATTCCTAGGTTGAGTGACTGATGACACACCAAATTATTCCCTTCTGGTCCTCAAGAAATCCACAGAAATCTTACAGGAGTTCCTTTATATATTACTTTCTCTGGATGTTTTTATATTCTTTCTTTATAGTTTTTAGCAGTTTAATTACATGACTTGGTGAAATTCTGCTTAGATTGATTTTGTTTGGAACTCTGGGTCTCATGCATCAGGATGTCTGTTTCCTTTCCCAAGTTTGGAAGATTCTCAACTAGTATTTTTTTTTTTTTAAAAGATTTATTTATTTATTTGTACAAGCACTGGGTACAGTCAGAAGCGCGGGAGGGTGAGAAAATTCACCAGAGCCAGAGCGGGGAGCAGGACAGGCATACTGACAAAGTACACTGCTGAGGGGAGCAGCGGGTGGCAGGAGAGGTCTGCGCGCCATGTGGGACCCTCCTCCGGTGCCGGGGAGCAGCCGGGTATCGAACCCATGCTGCAGAGGCTGTGGGCAGCTTCGCAACCCAGCGCTCAATTGCTGTGCCACCAGGGAGGCCCTCAACTAGCATTTTTTTATGTAAAGTTTCTACCCCTTCCCTTCTCTTTTCTCTTTCTGGGACCCCTATGATGTGGATATTGTTTCTTTTTGTATTGCCCCAAGGGGTCTGATACTGTTTTCATTCTTTCTAATTCTTTTTTCTGTTTGCTGCTTTGTTTGTGTGACTTCTACTTCCACTTCAAGTTCACTGATAGTACCAGCTGCTTCTTCTTGTCTACTGTTGAGACCCTCTATTATATTTTTTAGTTTAATTGTAGAATTAAGTCCATTATTTCCACCTGAAACTGTCCCATATTTTCTCTATGCTTGTTATTCTCATTTTGTTCATGGGTCGTTTTTCTTATTTCAATAAGCAATTTAGGACTGTACTTTTAACTCCTCTTCAGGTAAGTTACCTAGTTCTGCTGGATCTAGATCTTTCCTAAGGGTTTTTTTTGTTGTTGTTGTTCTATGGTATATTCCCCTGCCTCTTCATTTTTAGTTTTTATTGGTTGAGTTAAACAGCTTTCTTTCCCTAACTTGATATGTTGACCTTATATTAAGATTTATATACAGGTTGTAAATATAATCCTAGGTTGTTTTCCCAGTATCTTGGGGTATCTGTTCCTATATAGACTGATACCTCTGCACCTCTCTCATGCCAATAGAGGGTAGGAACCTGGGCAGCAGGCTGCTGCTAGACAGTATCAAGAGTTCTAGCCTCCTGATGGGCTGCAGGTGCCCAAAGGGAGGAACTTCAATAATCCCTTTCCCTAGGCCAGTCTGAGCATCCCCAACAGCCTCAGGCTAATAATGACTGTGGTCTAGCTTTGGTTTGCAGATTTTTTTCAACCAGGAGTTTTACTAGGGTTTCGGGGGGAACAGAGTGACTGTGGGCTCAGATTGCTGGCACCGAAATGCAATCAAAGGTGGAGGAGGGCTGTGTGTTTCTTGGGGTCTGTAGGTGCTATCTGTCAAAGACCACTTGCCTTGCAGATGAACCTCTCTCATTCCTTCTCGGTGGTTATGGCACCAAGAGGGTGCTATGGAGCAGAGCCATGGTCTGGGTCTCCCAAAGGGTTTCACTTACTAAGTCTTATCCTGGAATTGCTGCTAAGGCCTAGGTGCTTTAAACTATGACTAGAGGCATATGTACCTGACATGAACACTAACCCAGCAATGGCCCGAGGCAGGGATGGGACAGTTGTTTGGAATAACTCTGAAGTCAATAGTAGAGAGGAGCTTCTTATATCACAGACCACAAGTGGACCTCTTCTCACTCACATCAATTTCCTCTAAAACCTTCCTGACAGGCTCAAGCTATGTCCAGGAGTCACTGGCTCAAGTTCACAGTCCCCACTTTAGATAAATGCTATACTGGCAATCTCAAGGACTATCTGATGTTCTCAGTCACCCCTAGTGGCCTGGGTGTAGGCTCTTATCCCGTTGTTGATTTCTAGTAGTTTAGCTCCTGCCTTTGTTGACTTCCCCTCACTCCAATGTGAATCTCTACTTACTTCATTCTTCAACATTTTTTTTAAGCACATATTTATTCCAAGCATAGTTCTAAGCTCTGGGGAAAAGTACCTATTCTCATGAACCTTAGGTTCTAGTTAATGTACCAAAACCAAAAAATTAAAAAAAAGTGTATATGGCAGGTAGAGATAAATGCTAAAAAGAGATAAACTAGAGAAAGGTGTCCAAAGGGAAGGTGAGGCAACCTTTCCCACAGACATCTGAAGAAAGTGAAGAAGAAAGACATATAGATATCTAAGAACATTCCAAGCACAGGTATGTGCAAAGGCCCTGGGACATGGGGGAAACAGAGGATGAGTAAGGAAGAAGAGTTGGTCAGAGAGGTAATGGGCCACACTGAGTACATCCTACAGTATGAGCCATTCCATGCTGACTACAGGCTTTAGTCAGTGCTACAAGGGGCCTGGGCAAACTTGAAGGGTGTTATGGAAAGGAGTGGTCTTGTCCAGTCTTCCTATAAACTGATCACTCTGGCTGCCAGGAGAAGACTTGTCTTTCTGAGGTCTGGAAGGATGACTCATCTTAGCATTCAAGTACTGAAAGGGGCAGCACAGCAAGTAAACTGGGAGGTCCTAGGGGAGAATCTCAACACTGTCCTTGTTCTGCAGTTTAGATGGGTTACTCAAGTTTCTCCGTATCTGTTTCTCATCTATACAATGACAAAAACTGTAATACTAACTCCTAGAGAATTACTGTGAGGACTGGTAGACAGACAGAGATTCAATGCTATCTTATGTGGGTCTGATGCAACTAAATGTTAGTCATAATTACTATTTTGACTTAAAACAAAGAGTCCACATGTCTAAAACATTGTTTTCTGTTCACTGTGTTCTTCATGTGTATAAATATTAGATTTTCCCATAAGGGAAGTATCCCCCGCCCCCCAGAGGGTAAAGTCTGGTTAATTTGAAGAACACATTTACTTTGGATTTTTTCTCCCATTATAAATCCAAAATAAATTTGCTTCTTCAAATTGGTCAGCTACATAGAATTATGCTCATTTAAACCTGGAAGTCAATTTAATGCATAGTTATCTAATTTCATGACTCTCCTTAGATGTAGAGCCATTTTACTCTTCCAGTTGAAAATATATATACAAGTTCCTCTTTAAAAGTGTGTCCATCAAAATCTGCAATATGCTTAGAGAGAATATTCTGTGTTCACAACTCATTGAAATACATTTAAAAAAAAAAAACAGCTTTAGGACACTCAACTTAAAGACTGCATCAAAATGATGTTCTCTTACCTCCTGCAAGAACTTTTCACTCATTTGACTGAAATGATGTCCTGGGGGCTTGATCCCAGACACCATCAACCCAGAGCTGAAGACCCTTGGCTTCTGCAAGTCTGGCTTGAATTTCTCGTAGAGGCTGGTAGATGCCTTCAGATCACCACTGGCTGCCTTCTCCTCTTTGGGAAGAGGCATGCTACATGGGGGTGGGGCATAAGGGAGCCCCACTGGAACCAGTGAAGTGTCCACCTGACTTAGGGCCTGCGGGTTCCTCCTGATGTAGGTGATGATCTTGGGTCTCACATGCTTGGGTTTGGGCATAACAATGGGCTTAGGTTCCATCCTTTCTTCTGTTTTTTCAACCTGGTGGTTCTCCATTCCCTCCTGAGAGGAAGGTGTGTCCTCGGAATGTGTCGAGACAGGCTTGGGGATCCCACTGTGACAGGTGTTCTTGTCAGGCACTTTTGGGCAAGTGTTCAACAACCATGTGGTATCGGTAGAGGGTAAGGAAGCAGAGGATGATCCCGTGTCCACACCCAACACACCAAAGTCCTGGAAGCTGCTACTGGGTAATGTAGGTTGGAGGGTCACATTCACAGTTGTCTCTAGGTGGAAGGGTGCTGGGACACTGAGAAGAGAATCTGTTCTCTCTGGGGTGCTTTCAGTCTTAGTTATGTTTTCTAGAAGGTTCCTATTTTCACCTACAGCTTGAGCAATCTCTTTACTTTCCCCTGCTTCTGAACTGCTGTTTTGAGGGTCATGGTGCTTTGGGACCCCAATTTTGCTTTCTCCAACAGAAGTATCTGGGGGAAAAACCACAGCATTGTCTACGTTGCCTCTCTCCTCACTGTTAGCTGCATCATTAGGAATAAAAGCTACATGACCATCACCTGGTGAAACACTGCTGGGCACCTTTTCACCCAATCTCCTAGCTGCACTTGGTGAAATTTTGCCAGTGGGCTGATTATCATCATGTCTGAAGGTAGCAGGGCCCTGTCTGGGAGTGGTCTGAAGAGAACCCTCTTCACCTACATTGACTATTTGCTTTTCTTGTTCACTCCTGCCTCTTCCCACACCAAGGTGGAGACCTCTGAGTGACAGACTGCTAAGTGCCCCAGTGGTGTCCTCATGATGTGGCTCCCCACATGGCTCCTCTCTCTCTAGGGGTAACATACCCTCCTCCTTAGGACCTCCCAGACACTCTGCATGGGCTGACTTTAATCCCTGCACAGTTCTCAGTTGAGCAAATTTCAGCTCTCCCTTTCCCTGACCTAAATGTGCTTCTGACTTACTCTGGCCTTCCTTTAAGCCTGAATTCAGAGCAGGCTCTGGATAAGAAGAATGTGATGTGCTCTCTCTGCCAACTTTCAGTCCATGTCCCCCCTCCATCTGGGCCTCTAAAGGGGTGGTCTCCTTGGTTACTGAGGTAGATGGTTTAGGATGACATATACTCTTTCCCTCTGAGGTACTGTCTACTGGAGGAAAACCTGCCCCTGCAGAATGGACTGTCAATGTCTTTTGAAGTCCCTCCTCACCACCTGGCATATGTCGTGGGGGTTCAGGGGAGTCCAGGTGTGCAGGCTGTAGAAGCTGCCATGTTAGGCTCCCAATATGTTCCCTCGTGAGTATATCCACAGCACCAGCAGAGCTGCCAGCCCTCTCCAAAGAATGCCTTCTCAATTCTTCATTGTCAAGGGTCTTTGCCAGTTTATCCTTGGGAACATGCCGGGGAATTTCAGCATCCCTTTTATCCAAAACTTCTGGGCTGGCCTCACCCATAACATTCCTCCAACTTGACAGGCTTGGTCCCTGTATACTCCGAGGGGTCTGTGAGATGTCTGTGCCTCTCTCCATTGTGTGCTCTTCATTTAGTTCTCTACGAACAGTCAAAGAAAATTTAAAATCTTTCAGGCCAGTGGGGCCAGGCTGAGATCCTTTTCCAAAGTCCTGAGGTTGATGAAATTCCTTATTGAAAAGGGTACTATTTCCCGGCTTGCTTGAATTTGCATTTCCAATTTCATCCGTCAGGTCACATGTCTCAGAGTCATCACGAGAAGAACTGACCTCCAACATGATTTGATTGGCGTTTGTATCACCCAGACTTAGGATACTCTCATTATTATTTCTTGCTCCATTTCTGTTGTCCCGTAACTGCGTATAACACGATTTCTTAGGAGCCACTGGGACACTCATTTTCAACCCTTCAATGGGGGCTGCTGGCCATGCAGTCTATGTAATGGAAAGGGTCTTTTTTCAAGCTGCTATTTGATTAATAGGAGATTCTCAAGCTGCCTGCTGCCCCCTGACAGTGTTACATTGTGGCACTGCTTTAATCAGTTCCAGAATGGTTTAAACTCAAGCATTGTCTTGATAAACAGCAAGATGACTTATTTGTTAGGTCCCTGCTGAATGAGAGCCAACTAGTCCATGAGACCTAGGAAGAAATAAAAATACAATCATGTTAGATTAACAAATATAGGTTGTCAGGAGAAAACAGCATCATACACACAGATTTATTTACCAATTTCATACAATGATATCATTCACTTAGTCCAGATATTTGTGCAAGACCTTTAAGCTCTTGCTGGTCAAATGTGGGGAAACTGAAACATCAAAATGACTAGTGTTATAAATGTATTACAAATATACATTAAATCTTACATTTAAATTTTAGAAGTCCACAAGAATTATACTGATAGTGATTAAAAGAGTAAAGGAGAAAGGCAGGTTGTTCTTCACAGAATACCAATAAAGAAAATTTTGTAGAATTAGAAAAATCACCATTTTGTAATCATCACAGTAACAATTATCTTGGATAACAATTGCTAAAAATCATTGGGTGGCAGATTGCTGTGGAATAGATATTTACACAATCTTAGGTTACCATTTTCCAGAATACTTTACTTCTTACAAAAGGCACATTGTGTCTTTATAATGGAGAAATGTGGAGGATATCATCTTAACCAAGTGACTAAATTTAACATCATAATAATGGAAACTACATCACATGCTCCTGCTGCTAGCTGTTGCTCAGGGCCTCACATCACCTATAAACGTTCAGACTGAATTTAATCATGAAGAAATAACCAGTCAAATTTAAGCTGATGGATATTTTATAAAAGAGCTGGGTAAATCTGTCCCCCAAATAGATACCTATGTGCAATGCATGATTTTTTATTAGATTTTGGATCTTTGAAAAGTTAACAAAACATATTTTGGGAACAATTAGAGATTTAAGTACAGGCTGCATATTAGTCACAGGTATTTTATTAATGCTAACTTTCCTGATATATCATAGTATTGTGGTTATATGGAAATAATCTTTGTTCTTGGAAGATACATGCTTTTAGACATGACATAGTTGGTAATTTACTCTCAAGTGGCTCAACAAAGAAAAATGTGTGTGCATACATGTACATGCACATATGCTTATACACATATGCTTATTTCTCTCTTATAAAAGAGAGAAATAGCACACTATTAGAAAATGTTAACAATTTGAAAATCTGTACTACACCTGCAACTTGTGGATAGGTTTAAATTTTTCAAAATAAATAGTTGGAGAAAATTCGATTCTGGCTTGCAAGGCCTACATCAGCCAACCCCTCCACACTTTTCTAGCCACACTTGGACCATTCATCCTTTTATTCTCTAGGTTGCAGCTACACCCTCCTCATTCTTCACTTTACCATGTTCCTTCCCTTTGTATCAGGGCCTTTGCACATGCTCTTCCACCTGCATGGAATGTGGAATCTTCTCCCAATCTCACTCAAATAACTCCTTTGCAATCTCCAGTTTGCACCCCTTTTCCATGGAGCCTTTCTGATCCACTAGAATAGTTTGGGTTCCTTTATGAACTTTACAATGTCCCATATTTTTACTTAAATAAACCTTCAGATGTGCTAGACACTAGCACTGTTAATATACAGATATTAACAATACTATGGCACTTCTCTCTCTTCAGCAAGTCAGTGGAGCCCTCAGATTCAGCCTAGCCCACACACTGTTCAAGCCTAATATTGATACTCTGATCCCAGCCTTGCTTCTCTGATGCAGAGACAGTCTTAACAAATTCCTATTTGTTTCCTTATTAAATTTTAAAAGTGCTTTCCTTGAAGGTATATATGTCCTTTTGGCACAAATATAAAAAACATGTAGGCAAATCAATAAGACAGCCATCTAAAAGAGGCCTATGCTCTCTGGGAAGAGATATAGGTATCCTAGAAAGTCAAGGAAAGCAAGAAATTCCACAAATATGAGTCATCCACAGAAAGTGAGTATCTCTAGTTCTCTGGAGACAGAATTACAAGCCTGAGGACAAAAAACTTTTTGGTTTCAATTGTGCAGGCTGGGAGAGTGATAACTAAATTCATAGTAGTGATGAACAAACCAAGTCTCAGAGACCACTATCCATAATCAACTCTCTGAAGAGTAGCAAACAGATGTAAAATTAGTGTCCTACTAGAAAGAGTTACATTCTGATTTTGAAAGGATTACATAATAGTTTTTTCTTTTTCCCTCTGTCAGTAAACAATTAATGGTCCCAGTAGTAAGGGAAATAGAAAGCTAAAAAGAACCTCTTAGGGGCTAAATATTATTCTTAGCACTTCTACTTATTTGTAAATTTTAATTTTTTTTTATAGAGGCATGCTTTATTTGTTTGTTTGTTTGTTTGTTTGTTTATACATGCACTGGGTACAGTCAGAAGCACGGGAGGGTGAGAGAATTCACCAGAGCCAGAGCGGGGAGCAGAGCAGGCAGAAGGACCGAAGTACACTGCTGAGGGGAGCAGCGGGCACAGCAGGAGAGGTCTGGTGCCATGTGGGACCCTCCTCCGGTGGCCCAGGAGCAGCCGGGGATCGAACTGGCTCCTCGGGCGCAGGCAGCTTCGCAACCCAACGCTCAACCGCTGCGCCACCGGGAGGCCCTGTAAATTTTAATTTTTAACTTATAATTCATTTTATGTGAAATTTAAGTTTAGTTATTTAAAATTTGTAATAGCCTCCAAAGATAAATCTTAACATCCCCTTGATATTTTCTCTCTCTCCAGATAAAGACATGAAATCACACAAAGAGTAACATTCCACAGTAATGCAGTTAAGAAGTGGCAGAGCAGGAACAGAGAGAGGGTAAAACTATGCATAAAGTAGAGGCTGTAAAGAGAAAAGCTGTCTATTGGTGAAATTGTACAGATTATACATTAAGAATAAAAGGAAAAGGCATTATCTCAAGGAGAGAGAGGGGAAAGCAAAACCAGAAACCAAAATATAAGAGAAAGCTGCACAAGATAGGAAAAGAAAATGGAAAAAATCTTGTTTAATTACAAAAGGCAATATTTCCTGCTTCCTTTCCTTCCTGCCTTCTTCACATATCCCCCTGAACTTCATCTCTCTGCCAGAAGTAAGTCACATATTCAATATAAGCAAGTTTTCATCTCGATCTACATTTCAATCCAGAGCATTCTACTAAGAAAAACATTTTTTTGTTAAATATTTATTTATTCATGCATATAAGAATTGGGGTACAGGCCAGAGGTGGGGGGATGAGAGGATTCACCAGAAACAGAGTGGGGAACAGAACAGGCAGATTGACTGAGATACACTGCTGAGGGGAGCAGCGGGTGAGACAGGAGAGGTCTGCTGAGCCATATGGGTCACTTCCCTGGCCTGGGATTGAAATTGTGCTGCAGTGGCTGTGGGCAGCTTCACAATGCTGTGTCTTAACCCCTTGGGCCACCTGGGAGGCCCCTAAGATAAAGATTTGTTCCCAAATATAAACATGATCTTAAAAAGTCAGACTCATAATCCAGGAGAATGTGATTAAATTAAAAATGCAAATACGTCAACTAACTGCCATTGTTTCCAGAGTGAGCCATTTAACTTTCATGTGTTGCACATCCATGATTATGAAATGTTACCTATGAGATATGTGGTAATTTGGGAAAAAAAATGCATGAAGAACTAAGTCTAAAGGAAATGTAAAGAGTTTCTAGGTTCAAAACCTAGTAGTTCCAAGTAGTTCCCCCTAGTGTGAGAATGGAAGCTGTTAGGAAGTCTCTGGGTTGTCCACCACACCTCTCTGCAAAGCCTGTTTCAGACTAGCCCAAAGCCAAGCTCAGCCTTGTAGAGCTGAAAAGTGCAACACTCTACTTTGCAAAGCCCTTTAGGTAGCTGTAAGGAGAGATTATGCTCCCTTCCTCCCCAGTCCTATTCTCCTATTAAAGAACTCAGATTCCCCCAACTGTTGGAGCAGTTTTTGAAAACTTCCACCATCTAAGCAGCCCCATCAGGGAGACTAAAGTTCCTCCCTCTGAAACAGTTGTTCAGAGATGCAGACAGGTGCAGACATCTGTCTCAGGTGCAACATCCAGCATCATAGGCAAGCAAGAGTTCCATTCTCTTAATTACACCTCCTCCCACACAATCTAAAGCAGTGATCTCTTCGTGGGCGTATAAATCACCCTATAAATTCCATATTATCAATTAAAATGCCAAAGTGCCATATGAGTTACTCTTACACTACACTGATTCAAGCCTAGAGATTTGTAACTGACTTTTGGCACCCATGGGCAGGACGAAGGACCAAAATAATATACCACTTGAACTTCATCTTGCTGGTCTAGGTCCATTGCTCTACTCTATTTAATACATCCTGGGCCCACCCTTAAGTTCCATCCAAAATATTTGCAACCTATTCTGTTTTCATACCATTTTGAAGAGGTAAGCACACCAGCATTGATACCAGTGTCAGCAGAACAGTGCAGGGGACAAAGTAGCAGCACCTGGTGCCAGAGGGAAGCAAGCCCATGATGTTCCTCATCTGATCTGCTTATCAGCACTTCTTGGCACCTTCCTCTGCTCACTGCACAGATCTTGTCCACAAGAACATGCTTGTCAAATATGTTACTTAAGTAATTAGAACATCACCTCTCATCCAAAACAAAGAAAAATGAAAGTGAAGAAAGAAACTGAAGTTGTGCTACCATGACCTGTTCTATGTACTTTGCAACATCCTCCTGAAGACCACTGTTTATTTTTCTCAGTACGCATAACTCATCAGTTATCAATGCATTTTAAAATGCAGCTGGGCTCAGCATCAGGCTCATTGCCTGGAGTTTGAGCTCTGTCCCTGTCTTTGCAAAGGAAAGAGGAAATGCTAAGAAGCATTTCCCTTGCCATCTCTCACAATCAGGCGTCTCTTCAGCTCTCTCCAACTCACAACCTCTGATAATGGTTTGGCCATCTCATCTAGAACTTTTTCAGATGAATGCATATATATATTTTTGAATCATTAAATGAACTGATAGCATCTACGGGCTCATATGCAATTTCTTCATCCTTCCTGCACTTCAATTTCCTGTTACCATGTTTGTTCTGTCCAGACAGCGTGAAAGGCATTCTCAAATAAAGAAACATCCAGGAGAGCTACCATCTC